CTTCCTCTCTGTAAAAAATCAATAAAAAATATATTTAAAAAAATAAAATAAAATAAAATATTTCACCTGTTGTTTGAGATAGGTGATTTGACTATACTTGGCTCTAAAATCTTGGTGAATTATTTAACTCTTAATTCTTGAGTCAAAATCTAGACTTGTTTCCCATATTGCTGTAGCTGAAATTACCATTTAATTAATTTGAGTTATTTTAATATTGTCCAACCTTTTCTCTTTACATTTTCTTCTTTATAGAAATCTGGATCCATTAGGTGTTCATATTACACTTTTCTAATTCCTTATTCTGCTTTTCTTAGCTGGTTTTACTAAGCCCAAAACAGATTACTTATTTGTTTTCTTCTTCCTTCGAAGAGACTATGGTTAGGTTCCCATTTTTAAATCCAGTATTCAGTTTTTATTGTATTTGTGGTAAAAGGTGAGAATTCCATTAGGGATTTTTTTAGGGAGGAGGTAATTTCTTTGTCCCTTCTATTTATATATTTGATACGAAAACTTGTTCTAGAGTTAAGCACAAATCATAGAGGTAACTACTATTGATGAACCAGGTCTACTTTTTTACTTCAAGTTAAGGGAAACTTGGAAAGAAAAGGGAGCTTCTCTTACAGAAAAGCTATCTTATACAAGTTTGATATATTTCTCTTCTGGAGAACATATTGCTTTAATTGCATTGGTCATTTTTCTGGAATACATGTTCTCTACAATTTCATTATATTTTTATGTCCCCTTGTGATTTTCTTAATATTTTTTTCTATAGCTTTATGATAAGAGTAGAGTATAAAATACAAAATATGTGTTAATTGATGTTATTGGTAAGGCTCTGGTCGACCAAACAGTAGGCTATTAGTGATTTTTAGGGAGTCAAAAGTTAGAAGTTAGTGCCCCTAACATCCTTGTTGTTCAAGAGTCAGCGGTATTTTTAAGCATCATTTCCCTCTGAAAATTTGGTCTCTGGGTCTCGTTGAGTATCTCTGGAACAAATTAAGAACCAATATCTAGAGTTGCAGGTTATAACTGGTATTCCAGAGACTGTTATTGTTTTGCTTGACTTCCTGTTTTTTTCTTGGCCCTTTCCCTATTAAGTAAATGTGATAGGATATCTTATTTCCATAGGGAACTTCTCAGATATAAATAATAATGATTTAATTAAAAAGATTAATCTTCACTTCTGCCTTTGACCCTCTCCCCCAATCAACATTATTCAAAAACCTGAAAAAATTGCTTTCATCCTAGACGCAAATCCAGATCTCCTTCCCCTAGAAGACGATCTTCCCCTGTCAGGAGAGAGAGAAAGCGCAGTCATTCTCGGTCTCCCCGTCACAGAACCAAAAGCCGGAGTCCTTCCCCTGCTCCAGAGAAGAAGGAAAAAACTCCTGAGCTCCCAGAACCATCAGCAAAAGTGAAAGAGCCTTCAGTACAAGAGGCCACTTCTACTAGGCAAGTACATAAAAATTCACTTACAGATATCACACTTTAGGTTGTTATTTAGTGAACCCAAATATAATACCTACGTTTGAAACAAAACTACTTGATTTATTTATTTTTAAAATCAGCTTATAGAAAAAGTCAAAATTGTGTAAGAGAATATAATTAAAATGCCTGGCAGGTGACCACTGCTTTCTTTTTATTGTTTTTTTTAAAAAATATTTTATATACTATAGCTTACTTTCCCCCCCCTTAATATGGTCAATGCTGTAGTTTAAGAAAATGTATGCAATTAGAATTATTAGTTGCTCTCAGATTTCACTGATCTTTTGGAGCTTAGGAGAAGTCTTCACAGATTTTAAAAATTTTTTAGAGATTTTTTAAAATTAATTTTTAGACAGGAAGGGAGAGAGAAACATTGATCTGCTGCCTCCTGCATTTCTTCTATGGGGGATTGACCCTGCAACCTAGACATGTGCCCTGAATGACAATCAAACCAGCAGTCTTTCTGTGTACAGGATGATGCCCAACCAACTGAGTGGGGCTGAAAACTTTTATTGTTTAAAGTTTTACATATGTCTCCTTTTTCCCCAGTTGAAACACCTCTCCCTCTGCCACTCCCATCCCCGAGGGCAAGCCCCCACCACCCCAGTGTCTATGTCCTTTGGTTATGCTAATATGCATATATACAAGTCCTTTGATTGTTCTCTAACCCCCCCCTCCCATTTATCTTTGGATCTAATTTTGTTCCTCAGTTTATGTTGATCATTATATTCCACATATGAGTGAGATCATGTGATACTTTCTCCAACTGGCTTATTTCGCTTAGCATAATGCTCTCCCAGTTCCATCCATACTGTAGCAAATGGTAAAAGTTCCTTCTATTTTATAGTGGTACTAGAGGCCTGGTACATGAAAATTCATGCACTGGAGGGTGCTCTCCCAGCCTGGTTTCTCACAGTCCAGGAGCCCTCAGGAGCAAGAGGCGACCTGGCAATCGGGGAGGCGATTCCCCATCACACCTCTGCTGCTACCACTGCTGGCAGCGCAAGCCTCGGCCAGCCCTGATTACCTGCACTTTGGGCCGGCCCTGGGTAGATGGGTGGACTGGGGGACTCTGGAGCCAGGTGCCACAGCGGAGCTGAGCAGGCTGGGCGCTGCCATCTTGTGGCTGTGGGTGCCGCCATCTTTGAAGACAGGACATCAATTAGCATATTACCTGCCTAATGGCTGTGGTTGCCACCATCTTTGTGACGGCATGAGGGTCAGTTAGCATATTCCCTCTTTATTAGATAGGATAGTATTCCATTGTGTTGATGTGCCAGTTTTTTAATCCACTCATCTGCTGATGGGCACTAAGGCTGTTTCCAAATCTTAGCTATTGTAAATTGCGCTGCTATAAACATAGGGGTGCATTTCTGATTGATATTTCTGGTTTCTTGGGATATAGTCCTAGAAGTGGGATTACTGGGTCAAATAGGAGTTCCATTTTTAATTTTCTGAGGAAACTCCACTGTGGCTGCACCAGTCTGCATTTCCACCAACTGCAGGAGGGTTCCTTTTTCTCCGCATCCTCTCCAGCACTTGTCGTTTGTTGATTTGTTGATGATAGCCATTCTGACAGGTGTGAGATAGTATCTCGTTGTTTTGATTTGCATCTCTTGATTAGTGACTTTGAACAAGTTTTCATATGTCTCTTGGCCTTCTGTATGACCTCTTTTGAAAAGTGTCTATTTAGGTCTTTGCCCATTTTTTGTTTGAATTGTTTATCATTCTTTTGTTAAATTGTATGAGTTCTCTGTAAATTTTGGAGATTGAATCCTCCAAATACTATTTGAAATAGTATTGGCAAATATGTTCTCCCGTGCGGTGAGCTTTTTTGTTGTTTTATTGATGGTTTATTTTGCTGTGCAGAAGCTTTTTATTTTGATATAGTCCTTTTATTTTCTCCATAGTATCCATTGCCCTAGGAGCTGTATCGGTAAAGATACTGCTATGATGTATGTCTGATATTTTTAAGACCTTTAGCCATATTGAGTTTGTGTGTGGTGTAAGTTGGTGATCTAGTTTCATTTTTTTGCATGTATCTGATCAAATTTCCCAGCACCATTTATTGAAGAGACTGTATTGACTCCATTGTATGCTCTTGCTTCCTTTGTCAAATATTAGGGCTGAAAACTTTTACAAAGATAAATAACTTCTGTTTAAAATATGACAAGCCTGACTGATGTGGCTCAGTGGTTGAGCATCAGTCTATGAACTAGGAGGTCATGGTTCAATTCCTGGTCAGGGCACATGCCAGGCAGGTTGTGGGCTTGATCCCAAGTGTGGGACATGCAGGAGGCAGTTGATCAATAATCCTTTCTCATTATTGATGTTTCTATTTCTTTCCCCCTCTCCTTTTCTGTCTGAAATCAATAAAGATAGAAAAAAAATATGACTTAGGAGTCTGAGTAGAAGAGGGGGAAAATAAATCTGTGGGTTTTTTTTCTTCCATAGTGATATCCTGAAAGTTCCCAAGCCTGAGCCTGTACCAGAGCCTAAAGAACCTACTCCGGAGAAAAATTCCAAAAAAGAAAAGGAAAAGGAGAAGACCCGACCAAGATCTCGGTCACGTTCCAAATCAAGATCCCGGACGCGTTCTCGCTCTCCTTCTCATACTCGACCTAGACGGCGCCATAGATCCAGATCAAGGTGATTTGTGGCTCTAGGATCTGCACAGAGATTAGGTTTTATGTACTATTCTCCTACATAGGGTTAGGTAACTAGATTCTTCCTTCCTTTTTTAATTTTATTGATTTCAGAGAGCAAGGGAGAGGGAGATAGAAACATCAGTGATGAGAGAATCATTGATCGACTGCCTCCTGCAAGCCCCACACTGAGAATCGAACTGTGACCTTCTGGTTCATAGGTTGACACAACCACTGAGCCATGCCAGCTGGGCTAGGTAACTAGTTTCACAACAATAGAAAACATTTAGTAAAATGTTGTTATTTGGGTTTACAGAGAGTTTGAGGACAGTTTATGTACACCATAACAATCTCTACATAAATGGAATTACATCCTATGAAATGTGTTTTTGAAAATGTAGCTGTTGAGAAAACTGTGTCAAACAGTTTATTTTGTGTTCCTGGTTTACTCAGCCCTAATTTTTTTTGTTATGGCAGATCATACTCACCTAGAAGGCGGCCAAGCCCAAGAAGGCGGCCGTCTCCTCGAAGAAGAACTCCACCAAGACGAATGCCTCCTCCGCCAAGGCACAGAAGAAGCAGATCGCCAGTGAGACGGTGAGCTTCCTTTTTCATTTGGAAGTGTTGGGTGTATGAAGGTGGACCATACATTTATTTTAGGCTAATCTTTATATCAGTGTCCCCGTGGCAGAAAGAACTCATGAGTGATGGGTAATGTCTTCCAAAGAGCCTATCTCATTTAAGGTGTGCAGTTATTTTAATGAAAAATAATGCTAGTCTACTGTTGGCAAATTAAAAAAAGAAGGAAATTTCCATCTTTTTAAAAAAAAAATTTATTGTTGAAAATACTGCATATGCGCACCTTTTCCCCCCATTGATTCCCTCCAAGATCTCCCTGCCCCCCCTACCATCTTATTTACCTCTTGTTAAGGCATCCTTTCAGATCCACCAAGAAATCTTACCAAGTAAGGAAATTAGTCACCTAACCTCTTTTTTTGGATTTTAGTTATCACTGGCTTCTGAACAGTTGATGACACCAAAGCCAGTAAGCTGCTTTTACTAGCATTAAAATAATCTATTTGCATTAAGTATACTTTCATTTTATTTTTTTAAAATCCTCACCTGAGGACATCTTTATAAAGCTTCAAAGATAAAGAGAGAAGCAGCAATGTGAGAGAGAAGCATCCATCAGTTGTTTTTTTGCATGGGCTCTGAGTGGGAATTGAGTCACTCAACCAACTGAGCCACTCCAGCCGGGCATATACTTTTATATTTTTAAAATGCTTTTTGTTGTTTTGTCCTTATAGAAATGAGTACTTAGTATAAATAATTCATATAGAAATAAAAATAAAAATGACCCAGCCCTGGCCAGTGGCTCAGTTAGTTAGAGCCTCGCCCTGATGTGCCAGGGTTGTGGGTTTGATCCTCAGTTAGAACACATGTAGTAATCAAAACAGCATGCATAAATAAGTGGAACAACAAATCCATGTTTCTCTTTCTCTCTACCCGTAGATAAAACCTTTTAGCAGTTTGGTGTCTGGTTATTTTTTAAGAGAATGGACATTAAAGAAACCCTGTTAATACATAGTGTTCCATTTTTTAAATAATCTTAAAGTTAGCATAAAGTAAAATATTTGATCTATCACTTTTAACAAAAAGATTGTTGCTGTATTGTTCAAAATAGAGGCCTGGTGCACTGATAGCAAAGTTCTGTGCCTTCTTGACAATCAATGTATTCATGTGTTTTTAGAAGGAACTCTGATGGTTATACTTTAGATTATACTCAGGAAAGAATTTTATGTGTTTGAATCTTTTAAGGTTGTTTTCAGGGGACTGAATCAAATTGGAAATAGAGGGAGCAATAAGCTCCATAATTTTTGCTCTTTCTGCAGACTGGGTTTTTTTTTTTAAGAATCCCATAATTTTTAAACAGATAATGTATTTTTCTGTGGGGAGGAGTTGTCAAGGTAAACTGAACCATTTTTATAACCATAAAAAATTATAGGATTAATTTAGTTACTATTGATAAGTGAGACTGATATAAATGGTCACTCAGTTTAAACATCACACTTCTAAAATTGATTTCTCCTCAGAGAAAAGTAATACTGGTGTTTTTCTAGTACAAGATTAGTGGAAACGGCTAATTTGTATATTGGAGTTTTGCAAACAGCGTGTTTATTAATTGAGCTGTTTAGCAATCAAAATATTTTGCAGATTGTGTTAAGATTCCCTTTCAGGTAGTTTTTATCTCACACTTAAGGTAGGGTTTCTTTTTTTCAGGTTCTCAGGAATTCTTCCGCCAAAGGTGAATTCTGCAGGTACACATAATTGCAACAGAACTTAACACAAATTTTGCCGCAGAATTCAAGAGGCCCCTGCTTCTAAGTTTATGTAGCTAAATGAATTCCTAATCTTTTGCATCTCTTTAAAAATGCAACATAAAGGTTGCTTGACATTATTAAATGGAAACTACTTTTCCACCTAAATATTGTATGCAAACTCCAAAACACTGAAGAAGGAGACTGATTAGTTATGCCATTAGCACTCAAAATATTTTATAACTGGAAAGGCAACTCAAACATACATTTATCAGAATAATTTCTTTTTTCATCGTTAGTCTTGAACTAGCTGTTTCCTGTGCTAGGTTATGGTTATGGTTTTGTTTCCTCTCTTTAAAACTCATTGTCTGCTTAGCTACATAAACTCACAAGTTGGATAAAAATAGCTGAATTTTTGTATAAGCTGTTCAAAACCTTTGTAAGTGTGCAGTTACTGAATATGAACACTTCATTCCACAGAAGAAGGCGTTCGTCAGCATCCTTGTCTGGAAGTAGCTCGTCCTCGTCTTCGTCTCGCTCCCGGTCGCCGCCAAAGAAGCCTCCTAAGAGGACGTCCAGCCCCCCGCGAAAAATGCGGAGGCTGTCTCCCTCAGCAAGTCCTCCCAGGCGAAGGCACAGGCCATCACCTCCAGCAACTCCTCCGCCAAAAACTCGCCATTCCCCAACACCTCAGCAGTCAAACCGGACAAGAAAAAGTCGTGTTTCTGTCTCTCCTGGGAGAACTTCAGGTAAAGGTAAAAATCAAATAAAAATATCTTTTCTTCATTTACTTACAAGGTGCTTAGTCAGTTGTTGGTCACCCTTCCACCTTTTAAAGTATGATGTTCTGGGTAGTATCTGTATGTGGTGTTCTTTTTAATTGCTCTTAGATTCGTTCACCTTTTCTTTCCTGCTTTAAGTTCTCAAGATTTATTTTAATAGACCTTTATGTGTTTTGTTTTTAGCAATATCTTCTGTTAGTTGGTGCTGTTTGATTTGGGGTAACATCAAAGTTGTGTCATCACGGATAAGGGATCGTTGTATTACTGTGAGATCAATTAACTCCCCACTCCCGAACCCCTGGAGATTTTTTTGTTCGAGGACTTCATATTCTTTTTAATTATTTTCTCGGCCACATAGTGCTCTCTAGGGAAGGACATGGTGTCCTCTTAAAAGCTGATTTGTTTTTTAAATTTAGGCTCTAGGCAGGATTCTTGACTTTTGTTCTTGCTTTATTCTGTAGATTGATTTCTCAGGAATTTATGATCTGTGATTCTGCCAGGCAGCTAGAATATTGGCTGTTAGTCTTGAATGAAGGTTGTGGTCTATTGGAGTTTGTTTCTTTAGTATTAAATATACACTATAGGATCTGTTTGAATGGAATCTGGCTTGGTGCTTAGAGCAATGTGTCACTTTGCAAAAATACATCAAGTTGTGATTTTTCTGTTTGCATCATATATAGCCAAAGGCCAATAAGTGTACCTGAACAGGACTGAATTCCTGTTAAAATAGGTTAATTATTTAGAATTAGTAGTTACCTTTGAGAAATCTTCATTGGTACCAACTGCTTGTGTTTTATATTATTGGGGGAAGCAGACTGCTGCTTTTCAGAAACAAATCGCAGTGAATATGTACATAAGCAGGAAATAAGTCATGGTGGAGACAAAGGACTGGTTCTATTCCTGTGGATTCTGGGACCTAGCCAAAGAGACGTACTGTGATCATTGTAGTCAGAGGCTGCCTTGTGACCACTGAAGCTGAATATTGGTTTTAACTATTTGGGAATAACTTTATGGTAACATGATCCTAGTCCTCTGTGATGAAATTTCAGAGCTAGAAACCATTTTAGAGATTGTCATCAAGAAACAGGTTCTCGGGTTAAGTGATTTGGTGAAGGTCAGCCAGCCTGAACTAGAATTTGGATTCTCATTTCCACTAAAAAAAATGTATACTTGAGTTGAACTCTCCCACTCCACAATGCCTGTTTTGATATCTGGAGGAGGGAAATGGAGGGCAGGGTGAAATTCTTTAGCTTCTATACACCTGGTACCATGATTTCAGAAATCCCTTTTTCTGCAGTCTTCATGGCTAATAAGAGCAATGATGTTGAAATGTAATAGGCTTTATTTTTGTAATTCATATAGTAGTCACCAATCAGGGCTGTCAATAAAAGTCGTGTTGTTGGTGGTGGGCAAATGGAGTGGGAGAGAGGCAGGAAAAGTATTTTGGGAGATTTAAGCGGTCAATTACTTGGAATATAATGTAATCAATGGCATGTCATAGTTCAAGTGGTTTTGTCTTCGTCTATAAAGTAGTGCTTTTAAATCAGTTGGGATAGTTAATGAATTATGTTTACCAGAGGATCTATTTCTGTGGTGGTAGAAGTTTTTTTTATTAAACTTATTGGGGTTACATTGATTAATACAATTATATAGGTTTAAGGTATACATTTTTATAAGTGTATTATATTGTGTGTTCATCGTCCCAGATCATGTCTCTTTCTGTCACCATTTATCCTTCCCATTACCCTCTCCTGCCTCTGCCTATTCCCATGTGGTGAATTCATAGGGACTGCTAAAATAAATTTCAAATACTGATTTTTCAATTGACTTAGCAGATTTCTGACTTCATACTAGAATGATTTTTGCCCCTTGAATACAAAAAATAAAAACATTTGGATAGATAAAACCTCATCTGGGCAAACATCAAATAGACATTAACATTATGTTAGTAATATTCTGATTCAGTCAATCATTGAACCAGAGTAGGAGTACATATAATGGATACTCGTCTAATGGTAATTATATTAACAATAATTAAGGACTACTATAGCTAAGTTTATTGAGATTTAGGGAAAAACTCCAAAATGCATATTTTCATGGGGGGGGAGGAATGTAAATTATGTATGGTTAAATTTGTATTATTTATTAAGTAGGCATTTGCCAGCCATCTTCCAAATATAATCATGCTTTTAATGTTTCTTAGGGGAAAATATATTCTGACATCCACATTTTGGAACCCAGTTTTCCAAGGTGGTAATTTGAACATGTGGGTTTGTAGATAACTGGTTGTCTATAAAATATTTTACAAATATTGAAGATTAACTGACACTTAAAAATGGGGACGCCCTGGCCAGTGTGACTCAGTTGGTAGAGTGTCATCCCACGCACCAAAAAGTTGCCTCTTCAATTCCTAGGCAGGGTATATATGGAAAGCAACTGATATCTATTTCTCCCTCTCTCTCCCTCCCTCCTTTCTTTCTTTCTCTTCTTCCCTCACTCCCTTTCAAAAAAAAAAAAAAAAACAATTAAAACATTTTTTTAGAAATGAGCAATGCTGAACAGGGGGAAAAAAGCCTCATATCTCTAAACATTTTTAAGCCTTTTTATTTTATTTCTTTGAATTTATTAAAATATAAGTTTTAAATGCACTTATAGTGCTATCATATTTCATGATAACTAATTAGACGTTAATCATTCTTTACCTAATCCATTGGTTTGTCCAAAAGCTTATTAGGTAGAATCATTAATAAAATGTTGGTTGTTTTATTTCTTTTTTAAACTTTTATTTATTGATTTTAGAGAAAGATAGGAAGGGGGGGAGAGAAAGAAACATTGCTTTTGTTTCACTTCTTTATATGTTCATTGGTTGATCTTGTATGTGCCCTGGCAGGAAATTGAACCTGTAACCTGGGAATATTGGGATGACTCTCTAGTCAACTGAACTACTTGGCCAAGGCTAAAGTACTGTTAGTTTTAAAAGTACAGTGGTGAATTCTTTAATTTGACTAAGATTTTGCTGTTTTATATACTTATATAATAATTATTATTTTAAATATATTTTTATTGATTTCTGAGAAGGGAGAGGGAGAGAGAAAGATAGAAAACATCAGTAATGATGAGAATCATTGATTGGCTGCCTCCTGCACACCCCCTACTGGGGATCGAGCCTGCAAGCCAGGCATGCGTCCTTGACTGGAATCGAACCTGGGACCCTTCAATCTGCAGGCCGATGCTCTAACCACTGAGAAAATGAGCTAGGACTTAATTACTGATTTAGATCACTAGTTCTCTTTAAGTTACTACCCGTTGTGTAAGTCTTGATAGAATTCTGAATATGAGTGTTAGTTAAATGAAATGTGTCTGTATCCTAGGTCAAACATCCCATGGTAATTGCTTTAAATCAAACAAAACAGTTGTAAAGATCCCAAGGGGGGATCATATTGTCTTCAAGTTTAGTTCTTATAGTAATGTCAAGCGATGTTCAGATTAATCTATACGGTTAATAGTTATATTTTTCTATACTTTTATTTTAAGTTAAAGCAATGAATGCTGTTATAGACAGGTAGTAGTTGTTGAAAATTAAAGCCTATATCCAGAAATAGAGCGTTGGAGTCAGATCCTAGTTCACTTAAATTATTCTTATGACTTCAACGTTGGTTGTATTTAAACTTCACATCTCTCCTTGTATAAAGGAGGGGAACTGTGATATTAGCAACAGTACTTAACATAGCAAACATACAAAAGGTAGTTGCTGTAATAATTTTCCTGCAATTGGGAAAAGTCAAGTTGGATAATTCATAAGGTACCCCGTTCTCCTACTACTATGGTTATATTTCAGAGCTGCAGCTGCCTTGTTTTTTTGTTTTGTTTTTTTTGTTTTGTTTTTTAAATCTTCCTTTGAGCTTTAGAAAGAACTTTGCAGCCTTGGTATTTTATTTATTTATTTATTTAATATATTTTTATTGATTTTTTTATAGAGAGGAGGAGAGAGGGATAGAGAGCTAAAAACGTCGATGAGAGAGAAACATCGACCAGCTGCCTCTTGCACACCCCCTACTGGGGATGTGCCCGCAACCAATGTACATGCCCTTGACCGGAATCGAACCCGGGACCTTTCAGTCCGCAGACCGACGCTCTACCACTGAGCCAAACCGGTTTCGGCCGTATTTTATTATTTTTGTGAAGGTCTACTACTTTACTATTGTGAAGGTCTACTTTTTTTAATATATATTTTATTGATTTTTTTTACAGAGAGGAAAGGAGAAGGAGAGTTAGAAACATCGATGAGAGAGAATTATTGATTAGCTGCCTCTTGCATACCTCCTACTGGGGATGTGCCCGCAACCCAGGTACATGCTCTTGACCAGAATCGAACCCGGGACCTTTCAGTCCGCAGGCCGACGCTCTATCCACTTAGCCAAACTGGTTTCGGTGGTCTACTTTTTTAAATAAATTCCTCATGCTATTGTGAGGGTTATATATGCTCTATCTACATAACCAACAGCCTCTTGGATGGCTAGTTTATTCCTCCTCTTCAGACCAATCTTTTTCTGAAAATTTCAGCAGATATAATTTTTTAATTTTCTATTTATTGAACCTACTCATAACTAACTATTGTTTCTTTTGGGTGAATCTCAAGATTCTAAATCGTTATAGAATTTCTTAGGGTTTTTCATTCAATATTAAAAATTCTTGCTTCTACTTCAGGTACTACTCAGGTGATGCCAAAGTCCTTACAGAATTTTGTAATTTTCTGTAACTTCTTGGAGAATAATCGCACCATTTTTGTATTCTTAAGCTGTCCTGTGAACCTTTGTTTGGTTTTCTTCTTATAAGTGTTTTTGTTTTGTTTTTCCCCCCGTATTCTTTTTAGTGACAAAACATAAAGGTACTGAGAAAAGAGAGTCCCCTTCACCAGCACCCAAGCCTAGAAAAGTAGAGTTATCTGAGTCAGGTAAGTTTTGTATATATGTTTGTTTTAAGATGAATTCGATTTGTTGCATATTGGATTGAACTCTTGTTAAAAATTAATTACAGGATATTAGTTGTTAAGAACTAGGACTCTGAAGTAAGACGAACCTAGTTTGAATCCCAGGCTCCACTCTTTAACTGCTTTTTGTTTGAATTAATTTACCTTAGCCTCATTTCTTTCACATCTGCAATGTGGATAGCAGTATCATCCTTTAGGTTTTCCTTCTTTGTTTAAAAAAAAAAAAAGTGTGTGTATGTGTGTGCAGTAGTTGTATTGTTCGACCCAACCAGATAAAGGTTTAAGAGACCATTTTCCTATCCAAATGTGTTATATTTTCTGTATGCTTAACTAAAGAAACACTTTCTAAATGCATCCATCTTTCAGAAGAAGATAAAGGTGGCAAAACGGCTGCAGCAGACTCTGTGCAGCAGAGACGCCAGTACAGACGACAGAACCAGCAGTCATCATCTGGTATGAATCCTGATTAAGTTATTTCTACCTGCATTTCCTAATTAAAAAAATACTTAAGATAAGCATGTTCTATACAATACTTTTAACAATAAAGAATTATATATACATATATAAAAAAAGATATGCATGTCCCTAGTATAGCAAGTATATGTAGGAGAAATATGTTTGTGCTTAATAGAAATAAAGTAATTGATGCTTTCTTGGGGGGGGGGAACAGCATTTATTTATTATTATCATTATTATTATTATTATTATTATTGATTTCAGAGGGGAAGGGAGATAAAAATAGAAGCATTGATGAGAATCACTGATCAATAGGGATTGAGCCTGCAATCCAGGCATATGCCCTTGACCAGGATCAATGCTCTATCCACTGAGCCAAACTAGCTAAGGCAAAGTAATTGCTCTTTATTCTTATATTATTTTATTAAAAAAAAAAATTTCCCCCATATATTTTATTGACTTTTTACAGAGAGGAAGGGAGAAAGATAGAGTTAGAAACATCCATGAGAGAGAAACATAGGTCAGCTGCCTCCTGCATACCCCCTACTGGGGATGTGCCTGCAACCAAGGCACATGCCCTTGACCGGAATCGAACCTGGGTCCCTTCAGTCCGCAGGCTGACGCTCTATCCACTGAGCCAAACCAGTTGGCTAATTGCTCTTTAGACGATCCATTCACTTAGATTTAGAAAATGTGGACAGATCTTTGAAGCACAGACTTGCTGTAATGTTTTGTTTCTTGTGTAAAAATAGATTCTGGCTCCTCATCTTCCTCAGAAGAAGAGCGACCCAAGAGGTCCCATGTGAAGAATGGGGAGGTAGGCCGGCGGCGGAGACGTTCCCCTTCCCGGAGTGCCTCTCCGTCGCCTCGGAAACGCCAGAAAGAGGCTTCCCCTCGGTAATGTCTTTTCTTCAGTAGCTTCATTGCTGCTCTGTAGTGATGAAACTTCATAAGTTAGCAAGGGATGGGCTGTGGGCTTATTTTGGAATTGGGCTAACTCCTTCATTTCCAGGACAGAAGGAAATGTCACATTTTGTTAGATAAGGGGTTGCATTGTTTAGTGGTTTTTAGCTAATTAATGAGAACTTTGTAAGGTTTGTACCACCATGTCATATGTGTGCATGACTAAAAGAATACTAGTTAAATCATAGCATTGACTCCTGTTTTAAAAATATATCTCTATTAGTGATACTTAATGCCATTGAAGTGAATAATTTGGTGAATGGAATTCTTGACATTTGTTTTTCTCCACTGCTCTCAGGATGCAGATGGGAAAGCGATGGCAATCGCCAATGACTAAAAGGTTGGTTAGACACTACTTTGTAACTTAGGATTACATGTCAAAGTTTTAGTGACTTAATTTACTGTTTAGGTAACCTTATTTCATTCCTAGGAATACAGTGTATGGCTGTGGAAAAGGTCATCAGTTTTAGTTTTTATACATCTTTTCACATCAATTTAATGATAGAATTGTATATGCTGTTCATTTTAGAGAATTGTTTGAACATACATTTTTGTGCAGTTAAAGTGTCAATAGTAATAGCACCTCAGATTTAGTGGGTAAGGACTTTATAGTGACATTAGGGAAGGCAAGAAAAACTATAGAGAGGCTTCGAGAAGTGAAAGAGGAATGCAAGGCTTTGGTTGGCACTTGCTCAGTGCTTCCTATGGTGGGAAGGTAGGTTTGCATATTTTCATTGACCCTTTTTGATTATCAGTGTCTGGGTGACCATGAAACCTAACATTTTAAAGTTAAATCATACCTAGAAATCTCTAAAGTAGGCTTATCTCATGAGTGAAATAAACAGGCTCAGAAGTATTATAGTAAAGTGAATTTTTAGAGTTACAAAGTAACAAAGCTAGTAGATTTTAACCTGTGCCATTGACACAGCACTATGCTGTGTCTTCACTGGTACTCTGCTTGGGGAGGTTTAGCTGCCACTGAATTTCTAAGTATTTACTCTTCCTGAAACTCTCTCATTGTCTTATTTTGGCTCTTTGTTTAAAAATATATTTTATTGATTTTTTTACAGAGAGGAAGGGAGAGGAATAGAGTTAGAAACATCGATGAGAGAGAAACATAGATCAGCTGCCTCCTGCACACCCCCCTACTGGGATGTGCCTGCAACCAAGGTACATGCCCTTGACCGAAATCGAACCTGGGACCCTTCAGTTCGCAGGCTGACGCTCTATCCACTGAGTTAGGTGGTCTAATTAATAAAAGGGTTTTCTTGGAAAGGTTCTTTAAAACCAGTCAGCAATGTTTGTAGTGGAGCCCAAGCAGTGTATTTGTGCCATGAAAGTAACTATTACTTGCCAATTAAAAAATGAAAGCCTAAAACATTTTTTTATTGATTTCAGAGAGGAAGGGAGAGGGAGATAGAGATGGAAAAATCAATGATGAGAGAGATTCATTGACAGGCTGCCTTCTGCATGTGGCATGTGCCCTTGACTGGAATCGAACCCAGGACCCTTCAGTCCTCAGGCTGATGCTCTATCCACTAAGCCAAACCAGCTAGGACCAATATCACTTTAGATGCTAAGGTATTCTCTTCCCAGTTGTAATTAACCCCAGCTTCATTACACATAAATTTGATGATAGGTTTGTATACTTTACAGAATCAGATTAGTAATAAGATTTCTTCCACTCCCCAAATTATATAACTATTTTCATTACAGTGAAATCAATGCTCATGTCTATTATCCTACACCAGGATGTTTTTGTTTTGTGTATCCATATTTTAAAAGGTACTGCCCTAGATGGTTCAGCTCAGTGGATAGAGTGTCAGCCTGCAGACTGAAGAGTACCAGATATGATTCCTGTCAAGGGCATGTGCCCGGGTTGCAGACTCGATCCCCAGTAGGGGGCGTGCAGGAGGCAATTGATCCATGATTCTCTCCCATCATTGATGTTTCTATCTCGCCCTCTCCCTTTCTCTCTAAATCAATAATATACATATATAAAAAATACAAGGTACTACTAAATTGTACTAGTAGCCTCAAGTTCAGTGATGTTAGAAATTGCAATTAGGTGTCTGGGATTTAGAGATTGAGAAATAAGTCATTGGAATCGTGCTTCAATATTTGTTGTATTTTAAGAGGGGAAACACAGCCTGGTTTTTCTCTTCTCTTCTCTTCTCTTCTCTTCTCTTCTCTTCTCTTCTCTTCTCTTCTCTTCTCTTCTCTTCTCTTCTCCCTCCCTCTCCCTCTCTCTCTCTCTCCCTCTCTCTCTCTCTCTCTCTCTCTCTCACACACACACACACACACACAATTTAAACATAAAAAAGTAACATTTTCATGCTTTCTTACACTCATCTTTGGGGATTGAACACTCCTTTAAATTAAAGGATACAAGGTATATTGATCCTACTTAGTGTAGTTGTCAAATCTATAACTTACCTGCTAGTTAAATGAGATTGTTCTGAAGAGGTCACTACAAAGATAGTAAGTTGTTGACCCCTTGTTATGAGACTAGTCTATTCCTAGATGCTTGAGAAGCTAAGCATCAAATTGAACACAGTTTTTAGGGGGAAAACTTTCCTATTCAACCATTTCTACACACATTTGAAGGCTTGGTTTGACAGTAGTGTTCAGAGTAACTAGAAAATGCTTAGTTTTTTTTCTTTTAATCCCTGAAATATATGCTTTTTTAGATGAGCTTAAAAAATTAGAGCTTTCAGGTCTGGAATCATGTGGTATCAAGATTCCAGTTATAAGAATATACTTTCAGGGATCGTTTCTATAGTCCGTTACTAGAGAAGTTCCTCTGATCGTGTAGCACATCAAAAAAAAAAAAAAAGATTCCAATTTTAAGTGGTTATCGGATTTTTCTGGCAGTTTCTTAAGTTATGCTACTTTGGTTATGGTTTTATTCTTATTTTCTTTTCAGTTATTTTTTTTCACATAGAAACACAGGAAACCGAATGAAGGTCATTACTGAAAGGGACCTTTAGTTAAGTGAAACTAAGGTGCAGAATAAATATCTCAGATTCATAATATATTCTAATCTGAGTTCAATTTTATTGGGAGAATTTTTAAGAGAGAAGTTACATAATCAATAGAAAATAGCCTCTTATGTTATTACTAGTGCCCTAATAGCTCTCCGTCACTTGTAGCTTGCTGCCCCACCCTCTTGCTGTTATGAGGCCTAAGGACCACTTGCATATTACCTCTTTATTATATAGGATGCCTACTGTTAACATATTGGGAGTTCTGGTTTAAGTCACCTCACCCTCAAAGTTTGTTAATATAAACCTTTGCTTTTCTTTGTAAGTCAAAACCCATTTGAAATCTTCATTACCCATAATCATCCTGTTTCTCTTGGTCCCTTAATTCTCCCTTTTTTGCAATTAATAGTTCAGTATCTACATTTCACTCATCTAAAAGCTTATCTGTCTTGATATCTTTGCCTTTTGTAGCTTTTATTTTAAATCTATTCAAAATGAAGTTTTAGTCAACACAAGGCATAAACAAATATAAATATAAATTTTAATTTAATAATTTCAGGATCTTCTCCGGTAACAGAAACCTCCTTAATTTTAAAGGGAACCAATGCCAATAAACTTTAGAAAACATTTCCAGATTCGTAGAAAATATGAGGAGCACGGCCTCGAGCTCCTCAGACTTCAAGGACACCAATACTGTACTGGACAAGAAATTAATTATATTATCTGGCTGCTTGTATATACACATTTACCCAAAAAGTGGCACACTGGTATAGTCTATATTTTAATATATCTTTAGGAAGATAGCTATGAGTTGATATAATCGTATATTTCTGGTGTGCTTTTATGTTGGTTAAGTGTATTGTTAAGCAAAGCATTAAGGTTTATATGATCCTTGTTTGTATTTTAACCAAATCCATCCCAATGATAATTTTAGTGCTCAGATAACTTTGATCCTTTGTCTTTTGGGATAGTGTTTTCAGTGAATAGTATGCAACTCTTGAGCAATGGACATTTTAAAACTCAAGAATTTGGAGCTGTGACACCCAGATTTTGGGCCTTAAGCTACTGATAACTGTTAAATTCAAAATATCTGTTTTGAACATAAAAATTTTCTAGGCTTCAGTGCAGTTGTTTTTAATAAGGTTTTAGAAAATCACCTTGAGAGTCTTTTCAAAATACACTGGCTAGACCATAGCCCAGACCTGATGAATGCAAAGCTCAGATAAGTTTCCCAGGTGATGCTGGTGTGTGCCAATTTCAAAAACAGTTCTCTTAAGGCTCTGTTTTCAAACTTGTTTTCCCTTCATCACGTTAAGAATATTTTATGTCATAATCCAGACTACATATTTATATGCTGAAACAAAGATTTCATTAAAAAAAAATCCTTGCTACAAGCAACATTCTGATTTTCTATTCTTTAAAAATGTTGCTTTAAAACCCAGGGTCTTGACTAATAGTCTTGAACTGTAGTTTGAAAAATACTGCTCTGAGGGATAGAGTAACAGTTGGTGCACTTTGGGTTAATGTCTGAAATGGTGTCATCTAGATAACTTAATTATAAATGTTACTAACTCAGAATCAACTATAATTCTTCTTTGGTGCAGTGGCCGCCGGAGGAGAAGTCCCTCCCCCCCGCCCACCAGAAGGCGCCGTTCCCCCTCTCCTGCTCCACCTCCTCGCCGGCGCAGGTCTCCCACCCCGCCACCGCGACGAAGGTGCTTTATCAGATGTGCTTGTTGGAGTTCATCAGGGCAACTTTGTTTCTCTCTATAGTTAAGATGATTAAAGAACTCATTTTGTTGATAGTATTAGAGCTTCCCCCAATCTTCCCCTTTTTATCCTCTTCCACACAGCCCCCACCCTACTCCAGGCCTTCACCACATTACTGTGTGTCCATCTTTGATGAATCTTTTTTTTTCTTTATTGATTAAGGTATTACATATGTGTCCTTATCTCCTCCATTGCCCCCGCCACCTCCCCACTCACCCCCTAACCCCACTAGTGTCCATTGGTTTTACTTATGCTTGCATACAAGTCCTTTGGTTGATCTCTCCTCCTTCCCCCCACCCTTGATGAATCTTAATTTGAGCAAGTTTGAGTCTTTATGATCGGAGTATCTTAGAGTGACATTGCTCAGCCATTTTTAAAGATATTTTTTATTGATTTTAGATAGGAAGGGAGAGAGGCATAAAAACATCAAGGATGAGAATTATTGATTGGCTGCCTCCTGCATACCGGAGACCAAGCACACAACCCAGGCAGGTGCCCTTGACTGGAATTGAACCTGGGACCTTTGATTTTAGAGAGCAAGGGAGAGAGAGACATAGAAACAACAGATTAGATAGATTCATTGATAAGCTCCCTCTCTCACACCCCCTACTGGGGATCAAGCCCACAATCCTGGGCATGTGCCCTGACCAGGAATTGAACCTTGACCTTTTGTTTCATAGGTCAATGCTGAACCATTGAACCACAAGGGATGGGCATAATGTACATTTTAAATAGTTCACTTTTATGGTATCTGAATCACATATCAATACAGAGAAATTAAAGGTAGAAACACTAATGATTACAAAGAGAAAAATACAGGGTGGGGCAAAAGTAGATTTACAGTTTGTATGGAAAAAAATACAAAATTCTGGTTATTGTAGTACTTTATTCTGATATTTTTACTTAAAAATAAAGGTATAGCATTTCCACTTAGAAAATATCCCCTTTGCCTACTGTTAGTACAATATAGGCAAGTACCTCATTTTATTGCACTTTGCAAATATTGCATTTTCACCAACACTGAGGCAAGATCCACCATCAGCAAAAATATGGCTTAGATGATGGCTGAGCATTTTTTAGCAATAAAATATATATATTTATATATATTTTTTAATATATTTTTATTGATTTTATACAGAGAGGAAGGGAGAGAGATAGTTAGAAACATCAACGAGAGAGAGTCATCAATCAGCTGCCTCTTGCACACCCCTCACCGGGGATGTGCCTGCAACCAAGGTACATGCCCGCAACCAAGGTACATGCCCTTGACCGGAATTGAACCTGGAACCCTTCAGTCCCCAAGCCGACGCTCTATCCATTGAGCCAAACCGGTCTCGGCAGCAATAAAATATTTTTAAATAAGTGTGCATACCTTGTTTTGTTTTGCTTTTTTAAAGAAATATGCTATTGCACACTTAATAAATTACAGTATAAGCGTAACTTATATGCACTGGGAAGCCAATAAATTTATTTTACTTGATTTATTGCAATATTTGCTATATTGCAGTGATATGAAACAGAATCCGAAATATCTGAGATGTGCCTTTATTGCCATAATTACTGGTTAGTTTTCTTTGTATGGTATTTCTTATTGGACCTTCCAGCTTAATGATGTCTTTTTTCCTGTAGGACTCCTTCTCCTCCCCCTCGTCGGCGCTCACCTTCCCCAAGAAGATACTCTCCTCCAATACAGAGGAGATACTCTCCTTCCCCACCTCCGAAGAGAAGAACGGCTTCTCCCCCGCCCCCTCCTAAACGCAGGGCATCGCCGTCTCCACCACCAAAGCGCCGCGTCTCCCATTCTCCGCCTCCCAAACAAAGAAGCTCCCCAGCCAACAAGAGACGTTCACCTTCATTGTCATCAAAGCATAGGAAAGGGTCTTCCCCAGGCCGGTCCACCCGGGAGGCCCGGTCCCCACAACCAAACAAACGGCATTCGCCCTCACCACGGCCTCGAGCTCCTCAGACCTCCTCAAGCCCTCCGCCCGTTCGAAGAGGCGCCTCATCGTCACCCCAAAGAAGGCAGTCCCCGTCTCCAAGTACTAGGCCCATTAGGAGAGTATCCAGGACTCCGGAGCCCAAAAAGACAAAAAAGTAAAGATATGTTAAGTTCTTTGATTAGGAACATTAACTAGCATAGCTCTCTTTATGTTGAAATTCCCCTACTCTCCTTTACAATGAAATTACAGAAAAGAATAATCTGTGAATACAAACTTTTAAAGCAAATTCTGATTACTATTCAGAGAGCCCTTTCAGTTTTCAGGATAGTTCCTAATGACATAAACTAAATGCCATAGGATTCTATCTGGTTCTTAGGAGTATCCGCTCTATTGAGGGTGTGCTTCTAAAGCTAAACTCTGAAGTGATGGATAGAATTTTTTTTTTTGTGTGTGTGTTTTTTAAAAATATATTTTTATTGATTTTAGAGAGGAAGGGAGAGGGAAAAAGAGATAGAAACATCCATGATGAAAGAAGCATTGAGTGCTTGCCTCCTGCACACCCACTATTGGGGATTGAGTCTGCAACCCGGGAATATGTCCTTGATGGAATCAAACCCAGTACTTCTGTCCACAGGCTGACGCTCTAGTCACTGAGCCAAACTGGCTAGGGCTAGAATATTTCTTGCATGTCTATTTAAGATTGATAAAAGCAGTCTTAAATAAAATATTAGGAATTGGAATTGCTAATGTCATACAGAAAGAATCTCTAACAGAATGGAAAGAGGATTGTGAGGCTTGAACTATTCTAATATGAGGAGACTTAGATGATCTAAATTTGAGTTAAAGTTTGTGACTTAGTTCTATAATGTAGTTGGTTATTTTTTCTTAGGAAAGATTTCTGTTCTTGGGTAATAAATGTTTTGTTTTTCCCTTTGTCTAGAGCTGCCTCACCAAGCCCTCAGTCTGTAAGGAGAGTCTCATCCTCCCGATCTGTCTCAGGATCTCCTGAGCTAGCAGCTAAAAAACCTCCAGCACCTCCATCTCCTGTCCAGTCTCAGTCACCCTCTACCAACTGGTCACCAGCGGTACCTGTCAAAAAGGCTAAAAGCCCAACACCAAGCCCATCACCTGCGAGGGTATGTACCTGGCCTGTTTTGGACATTCTTTATAGTTGTACTAGAGGCTTGATGCACCAAATTTGTGCAAGGGTAGGCCTTCCCCTGGCTTCCAGCACCCAGCCCCGCTCCCTACACACACCCTGGCCTGGCACTGCCCTGGCCTGAGCCTGCTGCCACCCTCTCCTTCACTTCCCACCCCTACCTCCCATTGGCCTGACCCTCCCTCTGGGGTGATGGCAGGGCTCCCTGACCAATCACATCACAGCTGGCCTGTTTGGTTGATTTGCATATAATGCTTTTATTATGGATGTGGTCACTTGGAGGCAGAGAACATTTTTGTCTTTTGTAGCTCAGAAGAGCATTGTTTTCTGTGGTTCAGATAGACTTCAAGGAGGTACAAATTAAATTTTATTGGTTGCATCACCAGTCCATTTATGTACTCTAGCATCCCACTAATTTGTGATATATCTAATACTTGTTAAACTCCAAAATCTTGGTGGTTAAGATTGGACACTAGAAAATCTAGAAATAAACTGAAAGAAAAAATTGCCCATGGTCCTATTATCTAGGAGAAAAATAACTTAGTATTTTTACTGTTTTTCTAGAATTTGATAACATTTAGCGACATCTAAGATCATGCAAATCAATGCAACTTTTTTTTATTATTATTGATTTTTTTACAGAGAGGAAGAGAGAAGGATAGAGAGTTAGAAACATCGATGAGAGAGAATCATCAATCAGCTGCCTCTTGCACACCCTCTACTGGGGATGTTCCCACAACCAAGGTACGTGCCCTTGACCATAATCGAACCCAGGACCCTTCAGTCCTTAGGCTGATTCTATCCACTGAGCCAAACCAGTTTCGGCACAACTTTTTATTTTAAATTGTGCCTGTATAAAAATGATATTTTTATAAAGGAAAATGTATGTCATAAAGAAGACGCAAGTGCTGGCAGTGGGTGTGTTAGGGAAATGAGTGATTTGAATTTTACTTCATTGTGCTTTAATGTTTTTATTTTTTCAACAAGGGAAATACAGTTGACCCTTGAACTGCACAGGTCCACTTATAAGTGTATTTTTCCCCCAATAAATATACAATTGACCTTCCATATCCCCCAGTTTCCCATCAATTAATTCAATTAACTGTGGATCAAAATAGTATTTTCAATCCATAGTTAGAGAGCTAACTATTATTCTTTGCCATTTTATCTGAAGGACTTGATAACCCGTGGATTTTGGTATCCTTGGGGTTCTGGAACCAGTCCCTCACAGCTATCGAGAGATGGTTAAAACTAAATTTGGGAGGAGTGAATATTGTAGATATTTTTAAATCTTCACTCAAGGTTATATTAATTGATTATTTTGAGAGAGAAAAAGATGTGTGAGAGACATCTATCTGTTGCCTCCTGTACAAACCCCAACTGGGGATTGAACCCAAAACCTTTTGTTGTCCAGGATGATGCTCCAACCAACTGAGCCATCTGGCCGGCGTTATTTTGGATTTTTTGCTTTGAGGGGGGTTTGATGTCTTTTGTCTCTGTATTCTTTAAGAGTCAACTGTACATCCTAATATATAAAAAACCAGGGGCCACACAACCGAAATAACCAGACAGATGACCAAACAGCAAGCTGCGTGGGGGTGACCAGGCCGGTAGGGGGGTTAGTGAGGGACGACTGAACAGCATGCTGCATGGGGTGACCAGGCTGGCAGTTGGGGGCGACCAGGCAGGCAGGCAGGTGAGCAGGTGAGCAGTTAGGAGCCAGCGGTCCCGGATTGTGAGAGGGATGTCTGATTGGAAAGGATGCCGGCTGGGGCTGTGAGCGCGCGCACGCGTGCGTGCGTGCGTGCGTGCGCGCGCTCGCTCTCTCTCTCTCTCTCTCTCTCTCTCTCTCTCTCTCTCTCTCTCTCCTTATTTCCATGAAAAAGAAACATTGCAACCTATAAAATACTAGGTGGAATGAAAAGTGCTTTATGTTTTATCTGGTCTTTGCCAAGTTACGTAAGAATAGCATTCTTTCCCTAGCTGGTTTGGCCCAATGGATAAAATGTCGGCCGGTGGACTGAAGGGTCCCGGTCAAGGGCCCATGCTCAGGTTGCGGGCTTGGTCCCCATGAGGAGGTATTCAGGAAGCAGTCCATCGATGATTCTCTCTCATTATTGATGTTTCTGTTTCTCCCTCACTTTCTTTCTGAAATCAATTTAAAAAAAAAAAAATTTTTTTTTTAAAGGACTTACCCTCAAGCACAACTGGGAGCCTTTGGAGCGCAGAGGCTTTTTTTTTTTTTTTTTTTTTTTTTTTAAGAAAAAAATAGGGTTGACTAAAAGGGCTCATTTAAAAAGTCGAAAAGGTTTTTTAAAAATATATTTTATTGATTTTAGAGAGGAAGGGAGAGGTAGAGAAAGAAACATACATGATGAGAGAGAATCATTGATCGGCTGCCTCCTGCACGCCCTGTACTGGGGACCGAGCCCACAACCTAGGCATGTAGCCTTGGCCGGAATGGAACCTGGGACCCTTCAGTTCGCAGGCCATTGAGCCAAACTAGCCAAGGCAAAAAGTCGAGTAAATTGGTTTGAAGTCAGATACTTAGCAGATTCAGGAACCAGAATTCAGCTCAGACCTGTCTTGAGTTCTGAGACTTTTTTTTTTTCTTTTTTTTCTTTTTTTTTTTAAATATATTTTATTGATTTTATACAGAGAGGAAGGGAGAGAGATAGCGAGTTAGAAACATCGACGAGAGAGAGTCATCAATCAGCTGCCTCTTGCACACCCCCTACTGGGGATATGCCCGCAACCAAGGTACATGCCCTTGACCAGAATCGAACCCGGGACCCTTCAGTCCCCAAGCTGACGCTCTATCCATTGAGCCAAACCGGTCCCGGCTTGAGACTTTTCTTTTTATTAGACATTCTGCTTTTCCTTGCATCTAGAGGTTGACCCTGACTCGAAGCTAGCTTGTGGTCAAGAAACCTGGTTTCATGTGAAGTTAGTTGGGTAAAATAAAATAAAAAAGTTTCCCATCACAGTTCATTCTAGCTCTTAAAATCTGTATAAAATATCTTTGAAGTCTTGAGACTGGTCCATTTAGTTATTTCCTTGGGGATATAAAAAGTTGAGTTGGCCCTGGCCAGTGGTTCTCAGTGGATAGGGTATTGGCCTGCACACAAAAGGTTCGTAAGTTAGATTCCCAGTTGGGCACATATCTGTGTTGCAGGAGGCAACCAGTTGATATGTCTCTCTCACATCGATGTTTCTCTCCCTCCCTCCCTTCCACTCTCTCTAAAAAGCAGTGGGGAAAGGAGAGCATATACCCTCAGGTGAAGATTTTCAAGAAAAATGTTTTGTTTTGGTTTTTTTAAATGAATTTAAATGATTTTTATTTTTTTAATTTAAGTTACAGAATTTAAATGATTAATTTATTGCTTTTATTTTTCCGGATTTCTAGAATTCAGACCAAGAAGGGGGTGGAAAGAAAAAGAAGAAAAAGAAGGACAAGAAACACAAAAAGGATAAGAAGCACAAGAAACACAAAAAACACAAGAAAGAAAAGGCTGTGGCTGCGGCTGCTGGAACTCCTGCAGCCCTTGCTGCTCCCACCACCACATCAGCACAGGGAGACCCGGAGGCAGGGCCGGAGCCCAGGAAGGTAGTAGCGTCCTTGTCCTGCTTTAAACAAGTGGCTGCATTTTCTTTTTTTGTTTTTGTTTTTTATAATTCGCTGCTTAGCTGTTAACTCTCTTGCTCTTTTTCTCAATGACCTATCAAGAACAGGAATTTGCCAAGGTTAAAGAAAACAATATGAATGGTTGCCATATGACTTAATGTATACTTTAAAAATAACTTCTTGATATAATTAATACACCGCATAATTTACCTTTTGAAAGTATACGGTTTGATAGTTTTAGTATATCTATGGAATTGGGCAGCTGTCATCACAATTTGCTTTTGCTCTGTCCTTAGTATCTCCCAGCAGTGTCTCAAGGCTTAACGAAAAGACTTTTCTGTGTTTGCTGTGTGTTTAGGAGACGGAGAGTGAAGCTGAGGATAACCTGGACGACTTAGAAAAGCACCTGCGGGAAAAGGCCCTGCGATCCATGCGGAAGGCTCAAGTGTCCCCACAGTCTTAGGTGGAAATGTTTGTTACGATGTAAATTTTATTTGGTTTGTACTCAATTCCATTTCAAAAATGCTAAAATGTGTTTGAGCTTTAGACTATAACATTTGTTGTAATAATTGCTAGGTTGAAGTTCACCATGTAAAAAAGGGCATGGATTTACATTGCAAAAGGTGTCCACAGTGTATTAGTGACATTCTTTTATTGACAGCTGACATAAATTCATTTAGAGTGAAATATTTTAAGCCAAAAAAAAAAAGTTCCCTTTTTAAAAAAGGGGCTTTAAATGTTGTTGGCATTTTTATGATTTCTTTAAATGCCCCTGGCTATTCCCAGGGGTTTTCTTTACTTTTCTTTTTTCTTTTTTTTTTTTTCCCCTTTTTTCTTTTTCTCATTTGAGTCTTAGCACCCATTTAAGTTATAATGCTTCCAACCTCGTGTGGTTTGCAATTGCCCAGAAATAAGACCACTGTTGAACTACTACAAAAGTATAGATGAATGTTTTAATGCCACCATCTTTCCTGTTGCCTGTGGAGTCTCTGCTGAAATGAATCAGGATCAAGCTCTAGGAAGAGACAAATGAAAGCATGCTGTGTGCCAGGACGCTGTGGGTTAATGCTGATGTGTAACAAGTTGATTTGGAACACTGGAATTTCATTCTATTCTGTTGTGTTTTTTTTGTAAAGGCAGTTAACTAGTCCCAGGAAGGATCCTTCAGTTACGTCAATTTTGTTTTTTGAAATGTCATGGCTCCATTCATAATTTTGTCTTATTCTTCCAATCGGTGTATACAACTTCAGAACTCTTGTATTTGGAAGGCTACAAGGGCCCAGACTTTGAAATAGTGTCTTGTTTTCACTGTTTTGTTTTCTTATTGTTGGTTTTTTTTTTTTTTTCTTGTTTTTTTCGTTGTTGGTTTTTTTTTTTTCTTGGTTTTTTTTTTTTTTTTTTTTTTTTTTTTTTTTAACTAAAGCTATATAAAGCTTGTGGATTAAACAGAATAAATTTCTAAATTTAAAAATGTTGGCCACTTACTTTCACTTACTCATCTCAATACTGCAGGAAACCTACCTTAGAAATCTTATACTGTCTGCATTTACCGCTTGGCACCTTTTGCAGAGTGGGGTTAGGGTAGGGGGAAGCAAAAGGTGTTTTACCATCTTTATTTTAATAATTAATGTGATAAGTGCTATGAAGGGATGGTGTGGCTGGATCATATATAATAGGCAAGGCAAGTAGACAAGACATGAGCAAGCAGTATCTGTACAGGCTGACTCGAGCTTGGTACCTGTAAAGGCTAATGGTGACTGGGAGGAGGGAGTGTTGAATGTTTGGCTGTCCACAATCAAGTCATTTTTGCATTAAGATTGAGCAGAGCAGAATAATTTGAGGAAACTTGGAGTTGACAATATTATAGAAGGTAAAACGGCAACATTCATATAAAAGAAGTAAAGGCACTTTTGGCATCATGGCACATGGCAGTTCATTTTCTAATTCCTGACGGTTGAAACAAAAAGGAAAAAGTGCCTACATACCGTAATTTCAGGAAAACTTAGGAGAGTTTTTTACCTAAAAGACATAGGCTGGGTTTTAGATTGATTTGTAACAACAAGCTTAGGGTGCTCCTGCAGGGGCTGAACTAAGGTGGTTAGAGTGACTGCTTTAGCAGAATCTTCAGCTCCGCTCCTCAGTCTGCTCAGACGTACCTGCTGCCTTCTCTAATCCGGGAGAACTGATTGCTCTCAGGCCTTTGTTTCTATGGTTCCCTCGTCCTCAGGCACCACCTGCCAGTCCCCTGGCTTGTTTTTCTGTCTTTTCTTAAACAGGCTTCCTTACCTCCTTTATTTTCATGGTTAGCAATTACTATTACCTGAAATATATTTTTGGTCCTAGGAACCTGGTTTTGTTTTTGACTGTGTCCCCGGTGCCTGGGACATAGAAGTACAAATATTTGATGAATGGGTGAAAAAGTAAGTTTAATCATTACCTCTGCCAGTGCCAACAGGATTTGAGGTAAAGAAAATGAAAAGATGTGATGATTGCTTCCCTCCAAAAGTATTTGCCTAATATTATAAACATGCAAACAACAATTTCGAGTGGACAAAACCTAGCTCAGCTTCAGAACAGGATTTCCACCCTAGTTTTCTGCGGGTAGGTAAGGCCAACCTTTTAGACCTTGAGGACCACCAGTTGGCAGCCGCTGTAAAGTGCTGCCACTTCATCTCTGGGGAGTAATGTGGACCTACCCCAGAGTTTTTGTACGTTAGTTAAAACCTACAAAGCATTGATAGCACAAAGAGAGGTTCCTCTGTTAGCTAACATGATACGTATTCCTTCTAGTAATGCAAATTGTAGTTTAGATACCTAAAGAATTTTAATCACTCCTAACCCAATTTGATGCAACTTTCTCCTCTTTAAAGATATAACATCACTATAAAGCTCACTATTTTACAGTGTGCAACTCAGTGGTATTTAGTGCATTTGCACTCTGCAGCCATCATTACTATCCCAGTGTTCAAGAATGATTTGTTCAAGGTTAAGCCATGGTGCTCTGTCTTTTTAAGAGAACATTTATTGGGTCAATTGCAGAGGCAGAAGAAGTAATTCCCGGGAGAGATGGGAGTAGGAGGTAAAGGAAGGAGGCCCTTGGAGGTCGGGAGAGTGGAAGCTAATGGTAATGAGCCTGGGGGGAGGGGAAGGAACTGGGTGCCTTCCATTCTAAGGGTTTTAAGGGCAGAGATTTTAGGGGAGGTCTCTGGGAAAAAAAATTTTTTTTTTTTTTTTTTTTTAATTTTTCACAGAGGAAGAGAGAGGGATAGAGAGCTAGAAACATCGATGAGAGAGATACATCGACCATCTGCCTCCTGTACATCCCCCACCAGGTATGTGTCCACAACCAATGTACATGCCCTTGACTGGAATTGAACCTGGGACCCTTCAGTCCGCAGACCGACGCTCTATCCACTGAGCCAAACCGGTTTCTGCTCCGGGAAAGATCTTAATAGACTATTAAGTAGCTTTTCAGGTATGGCCAGGGCTGATTGGTGACCGCTACCTGGGCAGGGGCTCATTATCAATGCAGCTGGTCCCCATGTCGGCCTGGGCTGGCTCTATTGCTTATCTGGCCCCGGCGGTGGAAACAACTTGAGGCCTAGATGTTATCTCTGGGGAAGAAAGGTCAGGCTGTCCAAACCTCATGACTAGTGATATGCTGGGGGGGAGGCACCCCGGGGACAAGGTCCCACTCCACAACTGATGGGCCATTGCTAGGCACCTGGGGCTTCCCACCCTAACGGCCTGTACCTGGCCCATCGTCCTTGCTGTGCTCATATGTGTCTTACTGTGTTTATTTTTAATGCTGAATAATATGCATTTGGATAGACATCCACATTCTGTTCATCAGTTGGACATTTGGGCAGCTTCCACTTTCAGGCTATTATGAATAAAACAGCTGTGAACATTTGCATCCAAGTTTGTGTGCACATGTTTTCACACACACACCTAGGGAATGGAATTGCTGGGTCATCCGGTAACTTCATTTTTATTTTTGAATAAATTTTATTCATTTCAGAGAGGAATAGAGAGAGAGAACATCAGTGATGAGAATCATTGATCAGCTGCCTCCTACACACCTACTGGAGGTTGTGCCCGCAACCAAGGTACATGCCCTTGACCGGAATCGAACCTTTCAGTCCGAAGGCCAACGCTCTTATCTGCTGAGCCAAACCAGTTTCGGCGAGATTCACTTTTTATTTAAAATACTAGAGGCCTGGTGCACGGATGGGGTTCCTCGCAGGTGGCCTGCGAGGATCAGGCTGAATGAAACCCACAGTCCAATGCTGCCTGGAGCTCCTACCTGTCTCTCATGTTCATGCCAGCCCCACTGCACCTGCCATGGACTCAAATTCAATCAGTTCAATCGGTCCCCATTTGGAGAGGCTGGCACCACTGAAGCAGCGCTCACCAGCCATGAGCCCTGTGTCTGGCTCACTCCTGAGGGGAGTGGCCTGTGGGATTGGGCTAAAACTGGCTCTCCTACATTCCCTGAGGAGTCTTTTATTTGTGAGGGCACAGGCCAGGCTGAGGGACTCCTCCAGGGCATGTCTGGCCCATCTTGCTCTCCTGATTGGCCAAATCCCAACAGCGAACCCCAGCAGTTGGAGTATCTGCCTCCTGGTGGGTCAGTACACATAGCGAGTGGTTGAGCAACCTTAGCATATCATTAGCATATTATGCTTTGATTGGTTTAACAGATGATCAGACACTTAGCATATTAGTCTTTTATTATCCTATATAATAAAGAGGTAATATACAAATTGACTGTCATGCCCTCATACATGATGGCCACCCCATGTGGTCACAAGATGGCCAGCAGGGGAGGACAGTTGGGGGATCAGGCCAGTAGGGGAGGGCAATTGGGGGCGGCTGGGAGGATGGCAGAGGAGTGGTTAGAGGGTGATCAGGCTGGCAGGCAGATGAGCAGGTGGGAGCCAGCAGTCAGAGATTGTGAGAGGAATGTCTGCCGGTTTAGCAGTCGGACTTTCCGTGCTCCAACCCCGCCCCGCACCCAGTGTGCCGGCCTCTAGTATAGGATATTTTTATTGATTTTTAATATATTTTTATTGATTTCTAAGAGGAAGGGAGAGAGAATCATTGATCAGCCGAAACTGGTTTGGCTCAGTGGATAGAGCATCTGAAAGGTCCCAGGTTTGATTCCGGCCAAGGGCATGTACATTGGTTGCAGGCACTTACCCGGTAGGGGGTGTGCAGGAGGCAGGTGGTCGTTATTTCTCTCTCATTGATGTTTCTAGCTCTATTCCTCTCCCTTCCTTTCTGTAAAAAATCAATAAAATATATTTTAAAAAAGAATCATTGATCAGCTGCCTCCTGCTTGCCCCCTACTGGGGATCAAGCCCCTGGCATGTGCCCTTGACTGGAATTGAACCTGGGAACCTTTATTCTGCAGGCTGATAGTTTATCCACTGAGCCAAACCAGCTGGGGTGAAACTGTAA